GAATCTCAACTAATAATTATGACTTTCCAGATGGACAAGATTATAATAATTATAATTTATTTTAACTAACAAAAAAAATATCATTAACAATATTTTATACGAACAAAATCTTATGTAAATAATATTACACGTCATTTTTCCTTATTTATAATATTATTGAAAAATGTCTTCATAGTACTTTGGAATAAAAATTATAATTAAAATTTAGATTTTTTTTTTTTTTCATAAAAGGACACTTTTGTTTGTTCTACCTTCTATGCAATGAGAATAAATTTCATATTTAATTAATGACAAATAACTTTTTTAATGTAATGCACAATATTCAATAATATTGTCAAAGTACTTTTTTGCAGAAAATAAATAAATAAATTATAAAAAGAATGCAAGTTGATTATTTCTTGTCGTCCCGAGAAACTCTTTCTTTTCGGTTTAATTCTTAAAAAAAAAATTAAAAAAAAAAAACAATTTTTATCCTTAAACCCTCCTAATTTTCAGTCTAAATATTTTAATTAAATACTTATTTCTCTTTTATGTTTATTAATTCCATATACTTATTTAAGTTTAAATTTTAATTTAATGAAATTGAATATTTAAATTAAAATGTATTTTTTTTATATATTATAGAAGATATCCCTAAATTAATTTTAATAATAAATTTTTATTTTCATATAAATTTAGAATACGATTAATATTTAATCATTTAACTATATGATTAAATTTCCACATAATCTTTACTCAAATTTTTGTTAATGTAAAATGAAAATTAACTGACAAACATTAAAATTTAGATTTATATTTAAAATATTATGATGCACCGTTCATTATTGTCAGTAGTCAATAGTAATAATGGAGGGCAAAGTCAATGGTAGTTGTTGATAAGGTGATCAACAATGTTGGTGAAGAGGTCGTTAGCAATGGTGGGTGGTGGTGGTTGCATGATGTCGCGGTCATACTTGTCCAAAGCATATATCTGTCCAAGTTGTATGTCTGTTCCAAATATTTTTTACTTCCCTTTGTGTGTAATTAGGTAATAAATATTTTTGTCATGTCGATACAAATATATATAACTGTTCACCAAAATCATGTCTATGTCTGTCACATGCTATCAAATATATAGTGGTTGTTTATTTGTTTTTCGCCTATAACATTAATCTCTTTCAAACTGTTTCTAGTGCATTTTCTAATCAAACGTGACTCGAGATTCGATCGTACGCTGAGATAGTATATAAAGTTCGATTTTTACAGAGGTAACTTATTCGTCAGATTAAAACAAGTATTGTCTACTCGTTTTACGTTGTTGCAAGAGTACGATTAAAAATGAATAATTTAATTGGTACCTTCCCAATAAATTTTTTTTTCTTGCTTGTCCTGTAAAGTAATTTACTCTTTTGTAATGGGACCTGCCATAAAATAATTACTTTTTTTTATTAAAAAAAAAGCCATTTTAAAGAGAAGGGAATAATATTCTCATTTTCTCAACTTGTTTGTAGGCCCTATTCTTTTTAAGACCCGTAAATGCCTGCGAGGACACTGGTTCAGTGAATTATGAGATCCCATTATAAGAGTGTGGAAACCTCTCGTTAGCAGACACATTTTAAACACTTTGAGAGAAAGCTTAAAGGATAAAGTTCAAAGAGGATAATATATGTTAGTGGTGAATTTGGGCTGTTGTTATAAATAGTATTAGAGCTAGACATCAGACGATGTGCTAGCGAGGATGCTGAGTCTCGAGGGAGAGTGGACACCGAATAATATGTCAACGAGGACGTTGGGAAACAAAACATTTTTTAAAAACTAGAAAATTATTTATGTCAATAAATACTAAAAAGAGAATATATTTCATACTCTTTAATTATTACTTCCATTCAAAAAATTCCTTTATATGAACAAAATTTTGACCCCATCATTCATGTCACCAATCATAGTAATGTAAATTAAAATAATGAAAAATAAAAAAAGATATTAAAGTTAATTTAGAACAAAATATTAGTGGCACTTTAAGCCTTTGAAAATTTAGAATTGGTTGAAATTATTTCAAAAAAAAAAATCTTTGATGAATCTATTTCTTAAAACGACCGTCGAAAAGTTGTATAATAGTTGGTGGTTAAAAATTAGAGACAAAAATGACATAACTACGCCTCACTTCGATACCATTCATTACATTATTTAAGGGTATAATTGGAATTCACCCGTAAAAAAATTATAAATAAATATTTTTTTTCATTTAAAAATATATGAAGTGAAAAAATTAAAAATTAAATTTTAATTTATTTTATTCGGCCGTAGTATTGAAAATTTAGAGAAACAAAATTGATTTTAATTTATAAAATACATTAAAATTTCAAAATTTTAAATTATTTAAGTATTACTGGATTTTTTTTTCATTAAAATGGACAAATTTTCTATAAAAAAAATATAGATGGGCCTGATGTGGGCCATATGTTCATAGAGAAAAGCCCAAACTTTACTTTTGGAGCCCAAAGCTTCATGTTGTCATAATCAGGAATAAAAGCCCAAACTTTGAAATAATTATTGAAATATTTTTTTCACCAAAATAAATAAAATATTTACCATAAAAATTGACGTCACTGTAAAAATTAATTACAAATCCATAATATCACTGTAACTATTCTCTATTTACTGTACGTAAACAGTGTTAAATGACGATATAATATTTGTCTTGGAAATTGCAAAACAGTTATTTTTTTTTAATGTAATTTTTTCTTTAATCACAAAATTTAAAATTTAAAATATAAAATTACTTTAATATGAATTTACCAAATAGGGTAATTATTTTTTTATATTTAAAATAGAAATTTAGGAAATTCTACTTTATTTTATTTATTTATTTAAAATAATCTTGCATAGTTGAGATTAAAAGTAATTAAAATAAATTATTAATAGTTAAAATAATTTTGGTGAATAGGTACAAGAAATTGTACTTTATTATTAATAAAGTGAACATCCCACATTTGTCATATCATCCATGTTCCTTGTTTTTTTAAATAATATTTTTAATTTAATTTAATTTAATTAATTAATTAATTAATTTTGTGGTTATTTCCAGAATCCTACTGACCCATGAGGTATTTTGATTAAACAAAGAAAAAGAAAGGAATCTTGTCATCTTTGTGATTATGAATCATATTCCTTTTTGAGTTTAAACAACTGCAAGAGGCCCCTCATCATTTCTTTTTATACTATTCCTTAGATATCAAACGCATTCTAGAAGACTCTAATCCGACCCGACATCATAATCACTTAAACGGGTGGGCGCACGAGAAAGCTGTCGACCCTTCGATGTTAGTTGCAATAGCAACCACCCTCACGGATGCTCGTAGTAATCAGTCCTCGTCATCATCGTAGTAGCTCATTACCCTTTTCGTCATTCTTAGCCGCCCCATCTAGATACTCCTAGCTTTGCTTTGTAGACACTTCTCTTTCGTCTTAAAGGATGAAAATCAAACCAACTAAGAAAACCGAATAATTGTATGAATCCATTATCTAGATATTTCAGGACCCAGGTCCACTGCTAGCAGATATATTGTCTTATCTATTGTAAAATGCTTCTCCTACGGAGAGGTTTTCACCCCTTATAACGAATGATTTTAAAATACGTTTTCTAGGGAGGTTTCCATATCGCTATAACGAAATGAATGCATTGTTCCCCTCTCCAATTGATGTGGGATCTCACATCAAACACTTATTAGATACAAATTATGTTCTTGTTTTAACAAAACTTATTGGTTCAATTCTCGATTTAGCCCAAAACTGAGTGAGTGGAATCATTGCTGTAACAGCCCAAACTCGTCCCTAGCAAATATTGTCCGTTTTGACCCGTCATGTATCGCCGTCAGCCTCACTATTTTAAAACACGTATACTAGAGAAAGATTTTCACACCCTTATAAGAAATGGTATGCTTCCCTCTCTAACAGATGCAGGATCTCACAATTCACCTCTTTAAGGCCCAACGTCCTCACTGGCACGCAGGATCTCACAATTCACCTCTTTAAGGCCCAACGTCCTCACTGGCACACCGCCTAATGTCTAGCTCTGATACCATTTATAATAACTCAAGTCCACCACTAACATATATTGTCCGTTTTAGCCCGTTACGCATTGCAGTCAGCCTCACGATTTTAAAACACGTCTACTAGGAAAGAAGTTTCCACACCCTTACCAGGAATGATTCGTTCCCTTCTCCAACCGATATGTGATCTCACTTATTTTGATATGATTGAAAGCTCCTATTAAACAAATATGTGAACATAAACATAGCTACGACCCGTCCAATACAATATACATAAATATTTGTTTATGAACTACAACTTTGATCTAAAGTGAAGCAACGAAATCATTTGGGATCTCATTTTGATTTCATTTTGCAGCTTAAAAACAAAAAAGAAAAGTTCTTGTGGTGTTTGAGCTGATCAAAACCTAAGATCTGAAGGTGAAGGGGAAAGATATGAGATTTGGATCCATCTGCTATCTGCAAACCCACTATCTATACCCAAACTTGAACCAAAATCCAACACCTGGCCTCTTCCCAGTGACGTTTGATAACAATCTTAATAATATAATAAGCTCTCCAATAACCCATTTTGGAATCCAACTAATCTAATCTAACATAATTATAATCATCAAGAACACCCAATGAACACAGATGGTGCCCTCTCATTGCCCCCTGCACTTAAACAACAATGAAATGGCTATCACTTTTCCTTTTTGAGGCCTCACTTTGGCATCAAATTAACAGAACATTTCTATCCTGATTACCCAATGAAACATGTCACCTAATGTCTTGGCAGTGTTTTGGGCAGCTGTTCATTTCTTGGCTGCTTGAATCTCATCATCACCTAGCCCTCTAATGATACCAAAGGAAACTGAAAAGGAATTTGCAATAAAGGTCACATGAAAGTTGAGAATCCTAAAGATCATGCAACCAGAATATAAAAAGACTTGAAAGTATTTGTTTATAAACAGTAGTTGAGTATGTGGAGGCTGGGAGTGTGTGTGTATTTTGGTCATTTCCATAGTAGAGAAGGATAGAGATGATTCTGAAAATGACCCATGAGAGAGAATGGCAGGTATAAATATAGAGCAAACATTGAAGCCTTGGATGCCATACAGTGATAACATTCGAAGAAGAACAAGAACGAAAACGAGAACGAGAACGAGAAGAACGGCAGCTGCTTTCTTATGTTTAACTTGAGAGCAATGGTAGGCCATTGGAGTTGGGGTTTGGTGGAAGATGAAGTTTGGAGGAAGGGACCTTGGACTGCTGAGGAAGACAGGTTGCTTATGGAGTATGTCAGGATATATGGTGAAGGAAGATGGAACTCCGTTGCTCGGCTTACAGGTAACCTTTCGTTCGTGCTTGAAAACGTCATTCGGGGTCTTGATACCCGAAACTAATCTTTTTATGGCGTTTTTACTTAGGATTGAAGAGAAATGGGAAGAGTTGCAGACTGAGGTGGGTGAACTATCTAAGGCCGGACTTGAAGAGAGGACAGATAACCCCACATGAAGAGAGCATAATTCTCGAGCTTCATGCTAGATGGGGCAACAGGTACCTCCCGAGTTCAATCTCTCGTGTCAATAAAGATGTTCGTTTGTGTTCCTTTGAGCCAATTCTACTTACTAACTATGAAACGTTTGGCTCAGATGGTCAATGATTGCTCGGAGCTTACCGGGACGAACAGATAACGAAATAAAGAATTACTGGAGGACCCATTTCAAGAAAAAGGAAAAGGACAGTTCTGATGCGAATGGGAAAGCAAAAGCTCGCCTTCTCAGAAGGCAGCAATTTCATCAGCAACAACTGCAACAACAACAGCAGCAATACAATCCAATGGACATGAACAAAATCATGGCTCTACTAGAAGAAGAACACGACAAAAACAACATATCAGAAGCTTTGTCTTCCTCTGCTTCAGAGACAGAGAAGAGACAAAACATCACAAATTTCCACTCACAAACAGCTAACAATGAACAGAGTCTACTCTCTGAGCTCAATACCAATGGCTTTGTTCTTCCTGAGATATTGAATGAAGGGCTCGAAGTGGGATGGGCCATGGAGCTTGGGGGGTGTCCATGGCAATGGTAGCTTCACTATATTTTCTTCTTCTTTTGAGTTGGGTTTTTGTCTTACAAGAAGAGGCTTTTTGGGCCAAAGCTTTAAACCATGGCTTTGGAGTTAAATAATGAAATTGAGTTTGAGAGTTCATGATGTTCTTCATCAAAGAAGTGTTCTATGTTTGGTTCTTCAAATGGATATTCAAGCTTTTGATGCTTGAACAAGAACATAAACCAACATCTTTTCAATAATATAATATACCATTTTTGTAAATAAAAAAAGACATCCCCATATGAAGATAAGAACAAGTAGTCATTCTTAAAGCCAATGATTTCAAATGTGATCTAAGGGATTTTGAAAATCACCTTTTTTGATATTCTATTCTTCAAAGAGTATTAAACCCTAAAGAATGTAATCTTAATAAGTGATATCAAGCATGCTCTAATGGATATCAATATTCTCAAGATATTTGGAATTCCCTACAAAAGTGAGTTTGGTGCATATAATAAAGTACCATTCAATTGTATACCAAGATTCAATCCTTAGAGATAATTCTGAATTCTTCTATGAATGAGAAAAATACATACAGATTTTACTCCTTTTAGTTCATTTGCACATCTTCAAGCTGCCACAAATTAAGCTCAAACTTCTCTGTTCTATGCTCTTGTTGGCATTAGGAAGTTGGTCACATAGATACCCACAAGAACGGATGCGAGTATAATTGATGCGTTGAACGACATCGAAGGGAAGGAGCTTGAGAGTCATCTTGTTCACTGATGCATTATAATGGTAGCCTTTCTGATGTGTGTGAACTATTTAGAGTCAAGATTTGATCCATTTACAAGATAAGCTGCAGTAGAAAGAAACTAGAGTTTTCACCCCTGCATCTCGGATTCCCTCTCGCGTCGATAAACATATACAGAATCACTATACACGACTCGCCCGACCCTTCTATTTCTCCTAGATCTTCTACTAACTATTCTCTTCTTTTCTCTTTCAACGGCGGGTGATATCGTGGGTACAAAATGGATACAGATCAATGGCAATAAAGCTGCAATGAACTGTATCAAAATCCCCACAGGCAAGCTTGAGTAGTTTCCTGATCTTATTCCTATCAAAGAAGCCAACCCGATGCCGAAAAAACCACCAACTATCGAAGACAAGCACACCGCCGATGCGAAAAATGAAATCAGAGATCCTTCACAACCTTTTGGACTTAAGCTTGCAAAGAGTACTGAAAATGGTAAAAGCTTGAACTGTGCAATGGTTTCGGCCAAACCCGAAAAACAAAGAGCAAACAACTCATTGGAAATGCCCAGCTTTAGATTTATCTGATTCACCAAAACAATGTCGAGGAGAAAGGAAGAAGCGTACAAAATCTGTACCATGCCAATTAGCTTCTTCATGGATACTCGTTTCCAATAGCGGTCGTAAAGTACAGTGACCGAAAGAAGAACCAATTGGCTAACCACTCTAGACATGCCAATTATGGAAGGATCAAGATGAAGGCATTGTGTTTGATAGCAAAATATAGAGCCTGTTAGAAGAGGGACCATGGCAATGGAAGCCACAATCCAAGCCAGCGGTCGAAATATACTTGGATCACGGATAGCGGTTATGAGGTCAGACATCTGATTTCTAACATTTTCCATGATTGATTTACCATGAACATCAGGCTCTGGAAGTTGCAGCAAACCAAGGGATTCCTCTCTTGTTGCTGATGAAATTGAAAGTTGGAGAGACAGTAGAATAGAAAAGAGAAGAAACATCTTTCTAGGTGGTGAACTCAGTAAGTTATATCCACCAAGGAAGTTGCCTAAGACTCCACCAACAGCTAAAGCCATAAATGTATAAGATTGAAGGCCACAAATTTTGTTTGTTTGGCCAAATTCTGCAACAAGTGCATCTTTTGCAACTTCTGTAATGGATGCTCCAAGATTACTTAGAAGAACACATGCCATTAAAGCAGGAAGGGCTTCCCCTGCCACAGGGATCAATGCCAGAAATCCCCAAGATAGGACCTGCAACAGCACTGAGAAGCTTCTCAATTAGGATTCATCACAATGCGCATAAATATACCAAAATTAATTGGTCAAGAATACATCTCCGTACGAGGCCTTTTGGAAAAACCAAAAGCAAAAACCATGTGGACAATGTCATACCACCGTGATTCCTAACATGGTATTGAAGTCATGCCCTTAACTTAGCCATATCAATAGAATCCTCAAATGTCAAACAAAGTTGTGAGCCTCGAAAGTATAGTCAAAAGTGACTCAAGAGAAGGAGTCGAGCCTTGATTAGGAGAGGTTGTTCGAGGGCTCATAGGCCTCGTGGGAGGCTTTATAGTGTACTTTGCTCGAGGAGAGAATTGTTGAAGATGGTTGGGAGGGAGTCTTCATGGTCATGAATTTATAAGTAAAGGAATACATCTCCACCGGTAGGAAAGCCCAAACCAAAGTGTAAAGCCAGGAGGTTACGCTTAAAGTGGACAATATCTTACTAGTGTGAGGTTAGTGATTCCTAACCAACCCATCTTTACTTTGGAATAAGATTTGAGTAATAGTTACATTATTGATTAAACTGAACGCAGAAGGGAATCTAATGCAGGATGAACTGAAAAAGAAAAGAATAAAGAAAAGAACTCCAAACAAGAAATACAGAAATGAAATGAACAAGAACATGGTTGAAATTCCAAGAGAAACCCAACATACCTCCAATTGAAACATAAGGAACTCTACGAGCACCACCAATATACAGAGCATCAGACAGAATTCCATACAAGGGTTTAGCAACCATAGGAAGGTTTCCAGAATTCTGCACCAGTTGCAATATGGAAGGATGAAGATTAAGGTAATGAGCCATGTGAAAGTTAAGAGCCAGCCATGGAAAGCACCTAAACCCCTGCACCCAATACCCAAGCCCACAGATCAGCAACATTTGATAGCTACCCACAAGAGGAAACTCTCTTTTTCTGCCATTCCCTTCTCTTTTCTTCACCTCTCTATACAAAACATGACCTGGGTTGCTCTCCACAAGCGTGTTGATGAAAATGCCTGTGGGTTTTGATGGGTTTTCGAAGATATTGGGGTTTCGATGGTGCAAACAGAGAATGTGCTTGGGAAAATAGAGCGGTGGCCTTCGTGGGGATCTGGGAAACGTGGGTTTCAGAGAGGGAAACGGAAAATCAGGGGCAATTAATGAACAAATCATGGCTGGTGGAGATTGAAATTGGAGAAAAATTAATGGGTCGCTAATGATCTGTTCTTAAAACGGGATTTTGGGAGAGGCAGAGGAAGAGACAAAGGGAAGGATCTAGAAAGGTGAAGAGAAGAGTTTGGGGGAATCAAGAAATTTATGGTGTTTAGAATGGGAAGGAATGGAAGGAGAAAGAAGAAGAAGAGTGGAGCGTAGAGGTTTCCGGCTGAAGCCATGCTTCGTAGAGTGGCACCTGGAAGCCTTGAAGACTCCATTTTTGTCCTCCTTTCCGCTCCAAATTTCCAAGGGTCCACTCACCACGCGCCGCAATTTCCAATGCCTTCTATGTTGCTAAAACCATTCTCACCAAAATAAATATTGAACTAAATTATAAATTATTATTATTTTAATTGTGTAATTTATTTTTTAAAATATAATTAATATTTCAATATGTTTAAATTTGTAATATATATATATATATATATATATATATATATATATATATATATATATATATGAATGTAAAAAAAAATACTTTTAATCTCTTATTTTTTTTTTATTTATAAAAATACAGTTATTAACATAAGAATTGAAACTGAGAGATCACAAGTTGGATGGGGAGAAAAAATGAAACATTCCTTATAAAGTTGTAAAAGTTTCTACCATTTTAAAATCGTAAGGCTGACGGTGATATGTAATGAATTAAAATAGACAATATTCGTAAACGGTGGACTTTGGCTAAATAAAAAGAATTTGTAGGGTCTAAATTGTTTGGTTATAAAAAAAGAAAAAAAAATCATTCAAAATATACCTATTTATTTTAGAGTAAAAATTATAATAACCACAAATTTTTACGAATATAAATGGGATATTTAAAAATATAAAGAATAAAAATAAAAGAAAATTAAAAATATAAACAAAAAATTGAGAAGGCTCGTGAGTGACCAGAATAGTGTAGAGCGAAGGCGAAGACGGGGGCCCATGAGGATCCGGTTTGGCCGTCCGTTTTCGAGAAATTGAGTGAAAGGGACCTTTTAGTCTTTTCATACAGTTCGAAATGGTCCACGCGCGCGAGTGTCAGTCACCTACGCTTCCCAATTAACCACAGCCTCAACTCGCTGAACTCAGCGCGTGGGAATTTGACAGATGACGTGGCCGTTTATAATTATATTTACTTTTTGAAAATAATTGTCGGGTTAATCCCCACCGTTTATTTTGTCAACGAAATCATTAAAAATTTAAAAATAAATAAAATGCATTTACCCCAAATTTTAAAGTCATATTCAACATTATTTTTTAAAAGTAACTATTTGTTAAGTTATAACATCAAGTTTTAATTCTTGTAAATTTTTAAAAATGTTAAATAAATAAGTAAATAATGAGAATTTTAGCATTAAAGTAGACCCATTTTTAAAAAATATTTATAGTACAATAATTATAGTTATATTTATGAAATTTGGTGTATATTGGTGAAGCCATTAAACAAGATGCAAAAGAAGGGATATAATTTAATTGGGTCCATGTTGTTGGCCTAAAGAAGTAATATTAGGTCTTGTTTTGGAGAAGAGCCAAATTTAATTGAGCATAATGTGATGGTTTGGCAAATAATTTGGTAATTAGAGATTGATAATGTATGTGAAGGGACATCCACACGTGCTTATACAACTATACCACTTAATATTAGGGTTTAATGCACGTAAAAAAAAACTTTAAAACGGATGGAAGGTCGTGTGGCATGTGGCTACCAAATATCAAGTAGGTTAAAGTATAATCACGCTTCGATTTTACTTTTGTAAACATCTGTTTTTTAACTCTTTTACTTTGAAATAATAATAATAAAATAAACGTCTTTTTATTTGTATCTGTTCAAGTCAAGATGCTCATTATGGAGTAAATTTCTCATTAAACTAATTGAGATTCATACCATATAACCTCGGCATTCACGAATATTTTTAAAATAATTATGAAGTCTAATATTAATAGATAGCATATAATTTGAAATGTTGAAAATTTTAAAAATTAAAAAAATTGAGAAAATATATTATTTAAATAGTAAATTAAAACGTTTTTAAACAAAAGCCCGTCTAGCTCAGTTGGTAGAGCGCAAGGCTCTTAACCTTGTGGTCGTGGGTTCGAGCCCCACGGTGGGCGGTTTTTATATTATTTTTATTTTCTAGAAAAACCTTCATAATTTTGGTTAAATATTTGTTTTAATTCTATTTTTGGAGATCTTTGTATTTTCAATTAATTAGTGTATAATATCTGTTATAGTGTCCAAGATATTATTGTTTGAATTTTACACATTTCAATAAATTATGAGTTGAGGGTGAAAAAATGATTTCTTACTTCCTTCATGTTTTCTACAGCCCCTGAAATGCATCTAAAATTTCTTGGACAAAGAGAGAGAAACAATGGAAGAGCATCATAAAGAGAGGAGAGGCTGCTAAAATTGCTTGATATGATGATCGATCTTCATAACTTGTTTTCAACTCACCATTAAATGTTTAAATTACAAGAAGAACCAACATCTCTGGTTTTCAGTCCCAAACAAATTCCCATCTCAAATGACTCAACTTTCAAGTTAAATCATAATCACCCAGACAAACTTGGAACTTATTTTGCCTTTTTATTCAAACTCATGGGGCCAACTCAAAATTTGCATTCAAAAGATGAAGAACTTCACCCAGCGTTGATACTTTAAAATCTGGCTCCAGATCCATGTTCGCGTAATGCTCCGAGTTGTACCGTCCTGTTTCGTCTAGCAAACATGTGAACGCTCCTGCTTGCTTCCCACATCCAACCTGAATTATAACAAACGAAGACGTATGAACGAATGAACTAGAAAAGAGTATACCGTTGAAAGCCAAACAGAAAACGATACACTCACGTCATCTCTGAGGCTATCGCCGATCATAATTACTTCATTAGGCAGGACATCCCAAGAAGAGCAGATATGAAGTAGGGGAGCGGGATTTGGTTTATAATAACCAAATTCCCTGCTTAATGCTGGATGAAATGTCCACTGCAGCAATAGTAAGAAAAAGTTACAACCAAAGACAAAATTTTCATTTTCTCACAGGAAGCAGTTTCATCAAGAAATGAAATGAGGATACGCAGAAAATATATATCAACTTACTCCTATATGCATATTTTGGATCAAAAAGATGTGCTAGTATAAGTTTACAACAAGAGATATCTAAAAAAGTAGTTTGATCCCACAAAAAAGAAGAGATTCTTCCTAATCAAAGAAGATCATTTTGTTCTATCGTTCCATGAAGCCCAAAGAAAAACTCCAGCAAAATTCAACCAAAGGAATTTAGCTTGCTTCTTGAACAGATACCCCTATGAGAAAGAAAATACAGAGAGAGAGAGAGAGAGAGAGAGAGAAGATAAATAGAAGGGGAATTTTTCACATTAGGTGAACTAGAGTACTGAAAAGCCCAGATGTCAGAAGAAGCTAGAAAGACCTCAATTTCTAAGATCATAGGCCCATAGCGATTTACCGAGAGGCTGCTAGTAACCCAAGACGTGAAATGCAGCCAGTTTATACAAATAATGTTAAAGGGTGAAACATCTACAGAGGGGCCTTCTTAGAGACTGAAATTTCCTATGTACTAATGCCCCAAGAAGGTAACAGCGAGTGTTGGAGCTAATGGGATGCGATAAGGCAACCCTAATTATGGAATGATTAAGACAGCTCAGTTCATATTAGGATGCCCGAAAACAAGACAGATGTAATCAAGAGCCTACTGGTTGAATGAGGATGAAAGCCTTATTAGAGTATCGTAAGCTCTAAGAAAATGCACTATTGTGGTTGTGATAAGGAGAAATCTCATGTTTTTAGTTTCTCATTCTATTGCAATGGAAGACTATATTGGGGAACGAATTCAAAGCTCAAAATTTACTCCGATTCCAAACATAATAAGAAAGAATCCAGCTGCAAGTCTGAAAATTAAAAACATAACAGATGGCTGTAAATTGTAACTATAATTAGCAGAGAGCCTTATAAGAAAAATCAAATTTAGCTGTAAATTGTAATTAAAATTTGCAGAGAGTGTTGTAAGAAAAATCGAACTTACACCAAAACGCTGATGAAAAATATCGACAGCTTCCTTTATATTGCGAGTAATTAATCCCCTCCTGAAATGCAACATATTGACATTATAAAGATATTACCACATCATATGCACAACAACGTATCTAGCTATTGCGCAAGTGCACAATTTTTCTGTTTATCATCTTTATTTCTTTTGTAAACATCAAATAAATTGAACATCGGAGTATACACAAATTGATCAATTAGTTTGGTTCAAACCCATATGCAGTAAAATCAGAAATTTCACTTTAACATCTATTTTCTAATAAATTCACAGGACACCCGAGATATTCTAATGAGACTATACTAGATAAATTTACAAGAATCACATTATGTTGAAACTTTATCTTCCTTCTCCTCCTCATCCACTTGTGTCTTTTTTTCTTTCTTTCCAGATAAATTAAAAGGCACCACCATGTGTGTTTTGTGTGGGTTGGGGGAGGGGTATGATTCAACCAACTTTTAGTTCTGTCACAGGAACATAGCTGCACATGATTCACGAGAGAACAGTAGCTCAACTACAGTTAAGGAAAGAGCTGGCAGACAAGATGGTTACAAAATGCAAGCCACCATAAGTTACAGTGAAGGAAGAAGAAGAAGAAGAAGAAGAAACTGTTTACCTTATATTCTTGGAATCGAGAAAGGTACAAAGCTCCGCAGCACCTGCACGTATAATCATCAAAAATTTGGTTGAGATAGCCAAAGACCTAACTTTTCACAATAAAAGTAACATGAATCTGAAGAGTAAAATCCCTCATCGAGACAAGGGTGTTAGCGATTAGAAACTTGTAGAGAAAAACAATCAAATCAACACAGGGTAATCTAAAACACATGATAAATTGGGGGGGGGGGGGGGGGGGGG